GTCAGAACTCTGTCTAGAATTTCCTTGAGCTGATCCTGAACCTGCTCCATGACTTTTATTTTGATCTTCTACAAGAGGAAAAACACATTTCTTTGAAATCATGTTTCAGTAACTGTGTTGCCTTTGTAAACCACTTTCCTACTTTCATCCACCGTTTAAAGAAGCTGATGAAATACCTCAGTACATCTTTCCCACTGCCTCGCATCTTCTTCCACCACCTTATCGTGATTGCCAGCTGCAGAGAGAAGAACAGATGTCTCTCACATCGTTCGCTAAACTTTTAAATATACTGAATATATCTTTCACCTAAAACTGTGTAAAAATAGACAGAACTGAAAGATCAGCTTACAAATAAATGTAAATTACTTCCTTTATGCAGTATAAAACAGTATTTTGTCCATACCAGAGCTTGAGTTGTCAGACGACTGTCGGGCCTTGATGTTCCGATTATACGCCCTGCTATCGGCCTCCGTGGTCGTCATGGCTACCCTCACGACTGGAGGTTAGTCTGTTTTCAATGAATGCACGTGCTGTCGTACTGATGCCTGTCAAAGTGAGTGATGTGATGCTTTTATTTATTCCATGTGTATAGCTCATGCTGAAATCTTCTAGGTAAATCGTGGTGAGTATAACAGTATCGCATTTATGTTAAACTAAAATAAGCTGTGTGCATTAATATATCATTCTTTGCCAGATGTTGTAAATGCTTTGTGGAGAACAGCCTATAAACTGTAAGCAACTTTTACTGGTGTAGTTTTGCACATTAGTAAGACACACATGAATGTTTAAGTTTACAATCAGTGTTGTGATGGGTATGTGTTATTATTTTGTGTTTTCACTTTTGAATGTTGTGGATGTGTGATGTTTCCAGTGTCTGTGTGTATATCTCACATTTCTGTGTAGTTTTTTATTTCATATTTATAGCCTGTTCATAGCTTGTACTCACTACAGCCTGTACATACTTATAGTTATAGAATATTCATAACATACTTCATACCGTGTACATTATAACATACCATAATAGACCCATTTCTGTAA